TTTTTGATAAATTGTGGGAGTTCCGGATCTTTGATCCATAATTTCTTTCGGTTAGCCGTTGATAATACCACATTTAAAGCGTAAATCACTCCTCCCAAATGGAGTTGACCTAGTGACACTGAATTTGAGTTTTTACTCTCAACGAATTTGAGTTTTTACTCTCACATAAATTAGTTACCTCGAAGTCTAGCAATATGGCACGTCAACATAAATTGGCCAAGTGCTTCTTCATCAACTCTAGTCTGAAAAGTTTTATGCACATCAGTAGCAGCATCCTTTGCAACCAAAGTGATGAAGTAAAAGCCAGCAGCCAAATGCGTGGTCTTATTGTATTTCTCTACGCGAACCAACTTACGGTTTCTCCCCCTGAGAAAATTGTAACGGTGAAGACCCATCCTAGCATAAAGGGTCACTAAGAGAGAACAACGTTCATTACATATATGACTTCCACCAGTCCAGTATGTTCGAAATTTGGTGTATAACCCTTGGCATCGAACGGCTAATAATTAGATCCATACAACATATTAGCTATGAAGAAGCTAGATAATTGGACCCAATTAAGTTTAAGATTGGCTTGTGACTTTTACACCAAAAAAGAAAAGAAAAAAGATTGGCTTGTGACTTAATTACATCCAAATTACGCTCTCGCTTCGGCTTCGTGAGCACCATCGCTTCTCTTCGGAATCCTAGGGTCAGCATCGTCTCCCTCCGACCGCCTGATATGCTTTTGGTCGATCTAAGGTTTGTACACACGATTAATATAGTACCGTGTCTTCCAATTTAGGGTTCTCAACAATAGTACCAGTTGATCATGTGGCAAACATGTGTCTTATTCTTTTTAAACTTATATATATATTTTTTTCTTTATCAAATAGATTATAAAATCAAGATTTTTCAATTAGTTTATAATTAATAATTTATTAAAATTATTAGTTGATAAACATAATTTATTTCTTTAAATACACGTGTAGAACAATTTTGAGTTCATATAGAATTTGGTTACATATCCAATTCTTCAAAGATTATCATATTTTGTCGTTATATAACAAGTTTTTGTGCTATCCCAATTTTCTCACCAACACTTTTAAAAATTTAAGAAGGTTTTTCATTAGGCAAGAACATTAATTCCTGATTTGTTTAATAGGTGAGATAGATCACGACGATCTATTTTAGATTGTGAGATTAATAAGAAATTTCCAATTCAATTTTTTTTATTATTTACAATATATATACCATCACATAAAGAATTATTTTATTTCTAATTAAATTTGCTACATGTCAAACAAAAAATTTTTAAAAATCTTTTGAGTTTGAATAGACTTAGGTTAGCATACCCAAATCTTAAAGATTATAATATTTCACATTTATTCAAATACTTTTGTGCTCTCTCCATCTTCCCACTAAGCAATTTAAAACTTCAATAATCTCTTCCAAAAATTTTGTTTCGGCTTTTTCACGAGGAAATCAATAGTATTTAGATTATTCATTATTAAGATATGAAGTCGAAAGATTACTTCCATCTGCAATGGCTGAATCATTTATCCTACATATGTGTATTCTTTGTTATTTCTTCAGTTTTTTGCTTTTTAAAAAGAATGAATCGAAACTCAATCTAATCCAAAAAAATTGCGGAACATAATAGAACAAGTTTGAAGTAGCCGAGTCTGATTCAAGCTCCAACATATGTGACCATCACTGAAGTAAGCTGCACATAGTCAGAACAATCAACTAAACTGATACAAAAATATATACATCTCCAAATGTAACAGAACTAACAACGCAAACATGGAATAATGACAACAACATCTATGTTCTTTTTCTTATGGCTAGCTTCACATGTGTCCTTCTTCTTAGTCAGAACAATAGATTTTGTGGAATTTACCTTTAGCTGCCACATTATGACAGGCAAGTAAGTAAAGTAAAAAGACTACCTTGGAATTTTATAACAGCTCCTAATATGCTAAAACATAAGGAGGACTAAACTAAAAACAAATGAGTGATATACCTTTGCATGCTCATGCTCAAGTTCTTCCAAAAGAAGAATTCCATGCTCCTTCTTCCTCGAATAGAAACTACTACATATTCTAATATGACAAGCAACTTAAAACACATAAACTACTTTTTTTTATCATCTTAGTCACCTCTCAATATCATCTTTTTTAAGCAAATTCAAAAAATACTTGTCACCTCTCAATATCATCTTCTTGTTCCATCATAAAACTTGAAACGATGTTTACTTGCGTAACACGTAGTGCTTTATCTTCAAATATTCCTCCTCACAATCTTTTAAATCTTTAAGATTATTCTTGGCTTGATCTTACCAAATATACCTTTTGCTTATATAGTTTTATGTATGATGTATCTAATCTTCATTACACGTTCAGGTGGACAAATGGGGACTAGTCGATGGCGGGCACGATATTGATATTGCTGATCTAAGCTGCTACTGTTTTTCTTGCTCTATCCCGTGAAAATTGATAATGAGTCTCTTTTTTTCAAACACATTTCTCAATTATTTCAAGAAAAAGCTTATTTTGAGCTTATCTGTTTGTAGAATAACATTACGTTCCAAGAGGTAAGGGTAAACAATTTTTTTCTTGTATTCTCACCAATAAAGCATAACACAAAAACCAAAATGTTTATATAAAAGGCAATGCAGAGGGAAAAGTTTTAAATTTTCAGAGGTTCATTGTCTGTCATAGGCAATAAAACTTGAGCAAGATATACCACAAAACTCATCTATTTGTAATAGCAACACAAGAATGAATCAAATATGGGTGTTTCTTGCGTGATTGAGTTGTTATTGAACCAGAATGCTGAAGTTGCTTGATGTGTGTGATCTGTTTCCCTGGGTTCAATCCCTTTGGACGGGCACGAGCACAGTTCAAGATTGTGGCATCGATACAGCTTGAACTCATCGTTAATGGCTTCGAGTCTTTCCTTAGTGTACTCATCTCGGCTATCGCTTATCCACCTGCATATGTGAACACGCCGTAAAGAGTTAGTTTCTTTTGTTATGCCTTTTATGGGGAAAGCATACTTGGACTTGGTTATTGTTGTTGTTATTTTGATCTTTGAAAAAATTGACCCTAGTGATGAAAATGTAGTTGTAAATGGCCGTTCTTTCATGACAACATGTGTATTACTATTACCTAATGTTCATGACAACGTTCTTTAGGCGGCGAAGGAGGATCTAGCGCCTAACCCTGTACGCGGGAGTATAGGCGGAGCCTTGGCGA